TGTGCTCCTAGTAACTATCCCCAAACCTTCACATTCGCCTTTAAACTTTAGACTGTCTCCCCACACTAGAGATGGTAGGCAGAAGAGAGAGGTGTACATATGCACCCCTTCCTCAACTCTCTGAAGAGAAACCAAGCAGGTCCCTGAGATAAAGTGATATACACACTGTGATTGTCTTTATAATGGCTTTTAGTTGGTTGGCATGCTTTCCTCGTGTGGTATGGAGAAGAGCCGTCTTATGATGAATACAGAGCCAATGAATATTGGCATCAAAGGCCAGCAGAACATGTTTTTTGGTGCCTGGGGATTTAAAAAGAGAACAAATAGGAAGATAATCCAAAAACTTCTGAAAACAGAGTGGAAAGGGAACCTCTGAGATGTGTTATGGGAGCTGAGCACAAAGTACCAAATAGGGACAAGGGCCTCGTTTGCCAGGGTTTGGGATCAGTAACACGTGCAAAACTCTCAGGCACACTGTATATGATACAATATGTAGGGGGACCATTTCTCCAAAGCAGGGGTAGCAAAGCCCTGGCTGTCTAGTCATCTACTGTATTTTGGCGTGGTGTTTACAGACAGTCTATAGCAGGCTATCAGATAACCTTCTCCCGGGTCTGACGTGAGCACTCAAGCCTAGTGAAACAGAGCACCCATCACCCCAAAAGACACTTCTCTTTCTGTCCAGGACACATAGACATACGGATTTTAAATATATTGCTTTGAATTCATTTCTATTTCTTGGGCAGTGAAACCTAAATATCCATAGCTTAAATTTTCTCTAAAAGTTCATCTGTTTCGGATATATTTCTTATGAAGAATGACCTGAAAGGGCACCCCTGTTCTCCCCGAGGCCTGGTCTGTTTTTAATACAAGGCGAGGGCTCAGTCAGAAGAATTCTGAGTGTTGCTCTCTTTGTTTCAATGCGTCCCTATATTAGCTTCTATCTCCACCTTTATGTACCGACTCACTGTGAGGGCCAAATGTTCCTTTCTCTAGGTAGCTTATAAGCATCTGGACAAATTTACATTTGAAATTCAATTAACTTTATATTAAAAGGTCAATTAACTCGGCCATGATAGGGATTGTTTTTAATTACTTTTCCTTGTAGGACTTCTTGTCTAAGCATAAGTGACACTATCAAATGGCAGCCACATTGCCTCTTGGTTCCTTGAAATTCATATTCAAAGCATGCTTGGAATGCTGGTCCTGATTAAATGAATTCATCGGAGGACACCCATTGGGCAGTTTATCACTATATAATCCTTCGGACCTAGAATATCAGTAATTGATGATAAACTATTTTAACTTAAACACACTCTGTTGTTCATGTGAATATCCTTCATTATTTGTCTCGGTTGGTCTTTCTATTTTCTCGGTGAAAGGTGATGATAAAGTAAAATTATTTAAAGAATAAATTCATAATTTATCACATTAAAGCTAAAAATCCCATATTCTTTCCAGAACTGCCAGTCAACCTGGCACTGACGTTGGTTATGTGGCACTAGAACCTTGACATGAAATGTTCTTATTTATTTATCTATTTATTGCAAAAGAGATGCACATTCATTTGATGGGAGCAGTGATGGTGTGTGTAGTACTTTACTAAAGTGACCTATATAATCTCACTATAAACAAATATTCATAAAAGGAGATTTGACAACGTTTCAAATGCTTAGAAGACAGATTGAACACTGAATCAGGAGCAGCAAATGGCTTAGACTGGTCAGGCAAAGAGTGGGTCTACAAACATAAGTCAATGATGCTGTTAGGGCTCTCTCCCCACAGTGTGGCTTCCACAATGAAGGCAGGTGCAATGCCGTGATTTCCCTGCAGTGCACGCGTCTCATCTCCTCCTGGACCCCTCGCAGTCTGGGGGCAAGCTGCCAGCTGTAACCAGGCTGTGGGCAGCACCGGTACAAGCCACTCCATGTGAGATTGTACTTTATTATGAACTCAAGTTCTTTTCGAGAAAAATCACGTTTTTTTCTATTTATAAAAAGAAGAAACTCACATCCCTTATGTATATGACAGACAGCAAGAGGTGGATGTCCTAAAGCCTAGAAATCGATGGAGGCATTAATTTTAGTTGAAATGGTATTATTCTTATTAGGCTTAAAACGTCCAAAAGGAAAGGAAGACAAATTTCCTATAGACTCAGCACAATTGCCATCCAAACAGTATTGTTTTAAGTGAAATAAAAAATTAAGACATGAAAATGTTACTCCTACCTGCACCTCCACCTACGCTCAGGATCTTAAGTTCTGGCTTTGTGTCCCCAATCCTGAAAAAGACAAAAACATCAGCAAAGTAAAACTTCTATTTGTTCCATAAAATCTGAAAAATCTGATTATTAAGCTGAAGAGAAGGGGCTAAAATAAGAATAAAGTAAAACTAGACCAACATGAAAGTGCTCAGTCATTTCAGTGGTTACGTTGTTATTGAGAAAATCTTTAGAAATACCAGTTTCCTTCATTAAAAATCTGAGTGAGAGCTTTAGGAAGCAATATTAATAAACATCTTGGAGGTAGGTGGGAAATATCATTTGGTCAGGAATTGGAGAAAAAAATAAAAGTAGTGGCCATTCTCCACCCAGAAGAATTCACTGTAGATGGAGGAGAAGATGGGAAATTGGACTCGCATGTCTAAGACGTCTGTGTTCTGTCTACTCTTCATCTCACACTCACGTGCAGGAAATTTTGTTTAATAAGCATGGACTATGTGCAGAAGCCCTGGAGTGTGCCTGTTCTACACATTGACTCTATAAAAATGAATAAGACACGAGTTTGCTCTCAAATTGAAGTGCATGGTAATGCATCTTTACATTTTGGCACTGGTACTAGGAATGGGGTGCAGCAGACAGACTTGGAAGGAAATCAGTAATCAGTGGGGATTACATTTAGATTGATTTGAAGGGACCAACAAAGGGTACAAATGTACAGTCACCCTCAAGAGTCAGGCTGGGATGAAGGAGGTAAGGATGGTGCCAGAAAGGAAACTAGCGAACATAGTTTGCTGGAAATTTACAAGTCTTACCCCAAAAATTTGATGAACAAATTCAGTGGGCTTTTAGCTATGCAAAATAAAATCTGGGTGGGAAAGAAGTAAGGATTAATGGTATCTTCTAAAGAATTATCATCAAAAAACACATCATTCAAAACCAGTAGAGTAGACCCCATGATCGTATGAGATGGCAAAGAGTTAGAAGAACAATGGAACATAAAATATAGAAGTTATGAGACTCCACAATCAGGAGAGAAGAGAAATAACTACACCCAAGGGGTGGTAGGAGAACTAGAAAGGAGAAAAATCGTCAGTAGTGCCAGAGGGAACAGAGTGGGCTAACTACTGAAATTGCAAAGCAGAATCTCCCAGGAGTTTGGCAATCGGAACATCTTTGATAATAGCAATTTTAAAAGAAGTTTGAGGGCAGGCATCAGAAGGCAGTGAGATTAAAAAGGAACTTGATAAAGATGTAAACCTAGAGAGTGTTGAATGACAGGGTGAGAAGGCAAATGGAATGACAGAGGGGTTGCACATGAACTCAAAGATGATGTATGCTAGTTTGTTTGTTTGTTTGTTTTACGATAGGCTTTATGATGATAAGTCTGCTTTTAGGCTGAGTAGGAAGCACCACAAAGTCACTGATGGAAGACAGAGGTTGAAGCAACGTTCTTCAGAACGACAGAGTCAAAGACACCTGTGAATGAGTTGGGTTCTCCTTCCATTATATTTCAACTCAGAATTATGATTCTCACTGCACTTAGTGGCTTTGTTAACTCTTACAAATGTTCACATGTGCAGATAGTGCGAAACTGGAGAAATGCACTCAAGTTGAAATTCCAGTTGGGTACTGTGTGACTTTGCACAGAGTTATTCCATCTCCCTGTCCTTTTATTATGAATAAAGAGGGTAATAATAACATAGGCCTTCTATGATTATCAGTAATGCCTAATGCATGGAGAAATGGTGAATATTAAATGAGTTAAAATTCATGAAAGTCACTTAGAAATTTCTCTGTACATGGTATATACTCAAAATGTTACCTGTTATTATTACTCCAAGCACAGATAAATCATTGATATAAATTATAATTTCTCTACAAATACTATGGATACATTATAATACTATAGACTATATAAACTTCATAATGCTATATTTATCCCATTTATACATTACGATGATAACTAACAATTATCAAACTCTTACTATTTTTTTGGCAAGAATATAAACGTTTTGCACTCATGAAACCCTGGTGCACCAAATTACTTAATATGGATTTTCTACCTATTTTCAGGTGAGGATTTAAACAATTCCAGGGAACTTATGGCAATTACAGCTAACACAAAACCAGCAGTTGCTGCCCCACCCACTGCCCATCCCTGGTTTCTGTTCTCTAGAAGCAACAGCTCTGAACACGGAACCATTTAACGGTTCCTTTGTGAAGATTGAGTTCCTAATTCTAAATAACTTTCCTATTATGAAATATATTCTATTTCCAAAATTGGCTTTATTAAAGTAGCTGCACAAACATGCCCACTTTCCTCCCCCCTTGATAAATAAAGAAATAATTAAAACATCCTTTGGTAATTTGGAGTCTTGCTATCATTTTGTCTGTTGTTAAAAAACAAAAATACTACCACCAAGTTAATGCCAATTCATAGAGACCCTATAGGACAGGGTACAACTGCCCCTGTGAGTTTCAGAGATTTTAATTCTTTGAGGGAGTAGAACGCCCTATATTTCTCTGGTGGAGTAGCTAGTGGTTTTGAACTGCTGACTTTGCAATTACCAGCCCAACTTGTAACCACTGCATCCACAGGGATGCAGTGGTTAAAGAAAGGGCTTGTTTCGTAACCAAAGGGTGATGGTTCAAACCTAGCTCATTGGGAGAAAGATGTGGTAATCTGCTTCTATAAAGATTATAGCCTTGGATACCCTCTCAGTCAGTTCTATTATTCCCTTTGGGTAACTTATTATTGCTTCTTCTGTATATTATAGTTTACGACAGTCCTGTTTTCTTTCACATCCCGTTATGCGTCCGAGTCATTTCAATGGCAATGAGATGGTTGGTTGGAGCTTTACTGAATCAGATTTTCAGGCCTTAATTTCCTCAGTGCTCCAAAGCAGGTCCCAACCACCAACCTTTCAGTTAGCAGCCTCCTGCAAATTTCTTGTGCCACCCATTATATTATATACATAACATTTTTCGTGGTAACATGAAAAATAGAGAAGAACACACCATGAACAATATAAAATAGAAACAAATCCAGAATTCTACATTCACACAACAATGCCTGCCCCAGGCAGTCTAGGGAGCTGCCCTGGTAAAAGGGGTTCAGGCCAACACAGGGAGATCCACAAAAAGATGAAATATCAGGGCCCTTTGATGGATCCACAGTCAATCATTGCCCTCATATTCCTAGCTTTCCATCATTACTGCCTGAAGCAGGGTAAATTACAGCAATCCACTCCCAGACAGGCGATCGGATCATCTGTAGCACGTGGAATCCGTTACTGTCATAATGCTTATCAGCTCTGGCACAAATTGAACACATTAATCACCCCCAAAAAAGTCTGTAAGATGAGCAGCAACTAGAGTCACTGATAACGGGACAATGCTCCCTTTCTCTGGGCCACGTTGTTAATATTAAGTTGAAAGGAATAGACACTCGTTTTTTGAGAGTGATAATCATAATAGTGGATGAGGGAAATGAATTTAAATTGCTATCAGGAGGATGGAGGGGGACCCAATTCATGATTCCAGTGGAAATAATACCAGGCTCCGTTTGGGACCAATTTGAAACATAAAATCTGGAGGAGAGCAGAAAAAATCTGAAAGATTGGTATCTATGGTTTGTGCCTTTAAATGGTGAACGCTTATCTGCCAGCAGCTGGAACAATAGCACCCATCTGAGGTTTTGCATGTTTAAAGGCAGCGTCAGGTCGCGCTGCAGGAGAAGGAGCTTCTATCAGGAACTCACCCTTATCCCTGAGCCCAGCCATTCAGCTTGGCTAGACCCATCTATCACTTGCAGAGAAGAGTCCCAGGCTTGTCTTTCTGACAAAACAACGTCCCTTTTTGTTACCTTGCTATAATGCCTGGCAGCTTCTCGTCCATAAATTCCTGCATGCACTGGTGCTCGGTGGAATTGCTGAGAAACCTTCGAAAAGATTCAACATATCTGCTGTGGTCAGAGAACAAGCTCCTCATGGAAGATGCCATGTTTAGCGTTGGGAGGCAAGCAGGGAGCAAAGGCAGCTTTCACTTCCCCTGCCTTCTTTCCCAGCTCCCTCTGGCTCTCCCCACCCCCACAGTCTCGGCAAAAAAAAAAAAAAAAGCTTGCTTGGAATTTAACCAGCACCCAATCTTGTGTACAGAGCTCATTCCTGAGCCAGTGTTTGTACAGGACTCTGCACTGCGACTTTAACCCTTCCACCATTATTTTATGAGCAACAGCAATAGGGAAGCAAGGCAGTAAATCCGCCTGTAAAATTTGTTTAGTCTTGTAAGCTAAGCCTGCATTCAAATCACTTCCTGTTTTGTCAGCAGATGTCAAGTTGCTTAGAGACCAGGGGTGGTAAATACAGGAATAAACGCAGGGGGTGCCCAGCCACAGGCTCCAGACATCAACAGCTGTGGACGTGTTTGATAAAAATAAATAAATAAACAATAACAAAACTCTCAGCTGCCTCTGTGCATTCTGTGGGAAAGCGTCATGTCTTGATGTGCTTTAAAAGCCCTGATGGTGTCATAGGTTACACGTTGGGCTTCTAAGGGCAAGGTTCAAAACCACCAGCTAGTCTGATGGATGAAGACTAGGTTTTCTACCTCTTATAAAGTTACCATCTCAGAAACTCACCAGGGACAGTTCTACCCTGTCCTAGAAGGTAACTAGGATCGGTGACTACAGTATTTGTGTGTGTGTGTGTGCGCTGCTGTTGGAATACTTGGAATTCAGGGAACCCTGGTGGCGCTCTGTTTACAGGGGTAGAAAGCCCAGTTTTCTCCCGCAGAGCTGCTGGTGATTTGAACTGCCAACTACGAGGACTTCAGCCCAATGCTTAACCTCTACACTAGCAAGAGGTTCCCCTGGTGGCATGGTGGAGTACAATCGGCCTCCAAACTGCAAGGTGAGCCATTTGAACGCACCAGCCACTCCGCAGGAGTACGAGGCTTTCTACTCTTATACACCGCTCATCAAACCCAGAGGGGCAGTCGTACTCTGCCCTCCAGCGTTACTCTGACTCCGAATCGACTCGGGTGGTAATATTGCCCTTTCACCCATCTGCTGCGTTCCTCCGGAGAGAATGTTGCCCTGACCGCAATCTAATCCACAGTGACCCAATTTAAGTCAAAGTTGAACTGCGCCCCACAGCGTTTTCAGTGGATGATTTTTCAGAAAAGCACGTCAGGGTGAACTTGATCTTGTAACATTTTTGGTTCATAGCCAACCTCCTTAACTGTTTTTTGTTTTTGTTTTATCATTGGAGGAATATTTACCCCTCATGTACCGTGGGTTAGCCGTTGGTCTGCTAACTGCTAAGTCAGTGGTTCAAAGCTACCAGTCACTCTATAGGAGAAATATGAGGCTATCTGCGCTCAAAAAAATTTGTCTTAGAAACCCTATAGAGGGTCACTCTGAGTTAGAATAGACTCAATGGTAAGGGGTTGGTTTGATTTCTTCTCCCACACACCCCCCCCCCCACCGTTTTTCCTTTTGTTTTGCATTTATAATGCATTATTAGGGAGGAAATTGACTAAATTCGCTAAAAAAGCCAATGGTGGGGAATGAGGGCCGTGGGAAGGGAATCTTAAAATAGGAATATAGGACATAGTGCTAAGCTCAGTCTTAAAATTCCTTCCATAAGATAAATCTGTACACGGAATGATAGACACTTAGGGTTGGATAGGCCTTTGGAAGCCAAATGTCATCTGTCATCAGCAGAGGACCCAGAGGCTCAGCCCTTGGCCTGAAAGCAGTCTTTAAGAAGGCTGCCCCTCAACCAAGATCCAGCTAAACCAACCCTGTTGCCATCTACTCAATCCAGACTCATGAGAATCCCACGTGTTTCAGAGTAAACTGCTCCATAGATTGTCTTGACTGTAATCTTTATGGGCATGGATTGCCAGCCTTTACTTCTGTGGCATCACTGAGTAGCTTTGAACCACTCATCTTTAATTTAGTCCCCCCACTACTATCTAATTGATTCCAGTTCATAGTGGCTGTATAGGACACAGTAGAACTGCTATTTGGGTTTCCAAAGCTATAAATCTTTAGAGAAACTTACGGCCCCATCGTTCTCCAAAGGAACAGGTTTGTAGGTTTGAACTGTCAACCTTTGGGTTAGCAGTCTACTGGACCACTAGTTGAGTGCATAGTGTTTGCACAGTCCAGGGACCTCTTGAACCACAACCTATTGGTAGCTAGTTGATTATGACTCATAGTAATCTTATAGGACAAGGTAGAACTGCCCCATAGGCTGTAATCTTTTTGAACATAAACTGCCAGTCTTTCTCCTTCTTAACAATAGTGTGTTAATAAAAGTAACAAACGCATGGAAGAGGTATGGAAATTAAATGAGCTAATTCCTATAAGTCTCTTAGAAATGTGCTTGCCCAACCCATTCCCATCTTCTGCTTCCATCCTAACACGCCCTCGAAGCATTTCCAAGTAAGCGTTCTTGGTCTCCCTTATAGCCAGTGGTGTGTGTTTGTTTGTTTGAATGAATGTGTTTGTCACTCAAGATTCCAAGTCCATTTCAGTTTTACTTTTACTTTTCCTCCTTTCTTTCTTTTATTAAAGCCACTCATGCCAATATTTTGAGGGATCAGAAATATGGAGGGATTTTTTTAAGTATACTGTATATATTTATATATCCCATCTCAAAAATGAAATCAACAACAATATCCTGTTAAACCCACCATAAATGTGGTTCTCTTCCTCCCCTACCCCACCCCCGCTACATTGTCCCTCCCTCTCTCCTCAACACCCTATCCTCTTCCTGTTCCCTCCCCCATTCCTGGCCTCCTCTTAGTCATCTTTCTTGCCTTTTTGTATATAAACCAGGTTTCTTTTTCTTTTGTCTTACAACAATGGTGTTATTAAATTTTTATCTTTGTAAGATTAAGTTTGCTAAGCGTAAGCTTCTGTGGTTTTGTCCATGTCTTGAGGTGTTTAAAAGAGTTCGCATTGCTTTCTATTGATGCATAATATTTCATTGTATGAATTTACCGGAATTTGTTTATATATGGCTTTATAATAAGGGTTTTTATTGTTCCCATGTTTTTGCTGTGGTAGAATTTGCTACAATAAATACAGGTATGCATATGCCCGTTTGTGCTGCATTCTTTCTTTCTTTATGGATATATCCAGTGGGGAGATGCTGGATCGCTTAGGAGGAGATCATAAGGTACTGGCATTCGAATTTGTTGAAGGGAGTCCAGGGCTGGTCTCCTTAGTGGTTGTGCAGTTCTACAGTGCTATCTGTAATACACAAGTGTTCTGATCTCTCCTCATCCTCTCCTGAAATGATTCTTTTGTATTTTATTGATTTTTTCTAATATTATTGGAATAAGATAGTATCTCATGGCTGCTTTAGTTTAATTTATCTTATTGCTAATAAATTCAAGCATTTCTTTTTATGGTTGTTGACCATCTGGATGTCAACTTTGATAAATTGTCTACTCATGTTTTGTGCCCATTTTTTAATTGGGTTATTTGTGTTTTCCTTGATAAGATATTGTAGTTTTATAGATTTTGGTGATTAGCTCTTATTTTTTTCGTATACTATGACTAATTTTTTTTCTAATCTGTGGGTTCTCTGTGAGCCTCACCCTTCTAGTTCTCTTGTCTCTTGCTCTCTGATGGTGGGACCAGTGTGCTGCTGCCTTAGCTAGTTCTCTGCCTCAGCTGGCAAGGCTCACTTCCTGCGAGACATCCCTGAGAAGAAGCCATACGAACCTACCCCGATGCAGCCCTGCGTGCTGGAGAAGCTGCATGGAGACCCCTGCCAGCGCTAATATGCTTACACCCCACTGGATGCAAAGACTTTCTACCCACTGGCCTGTGATCTTCCTGTATTCAGCGTCATTTTGTGTTTTTTGAGTTTGAGGTGGACTTTGTAGATCAGTGCCAGACATATGGGTTAAGTAGGATTTAAGTCCAGGGGTGGAACTAGATGGGGTTCGGATTCTTTCAGAATGTACACTTACCCTTTATATAAAACTCTCTCTTATGAGTGTTTTTGAATTTCGTTTCTTTAGTTATACCCAGACTAACACAGCTTGCTAGTTCATTTATGATTAGCTAATCTCACTCTGGATTATTTTTGCTACATTTATCCATGCCGAGGTGTCTCATGCTTTCATCATCTTTTAAGCCAGGCATCGTATTCAGTTATGTGTATGTACCAGAGTTTCTTTGTCCATCTTCTTTGTGTGGACATCTATGTTGTTTCCAACTTGCAATTGTGAACTGCGCTATAATGAACATGGGTATGCTTATGTCTGTTCATGTTATGACTCTTACTTCTTGACGGTATCTATCCATGTACAAATGTACTTAACACAATGGATGGATCGATGGATTTAGAAAAGAGCAGTATGAGCCCCCAATAAAATGATTTTTTTAAAAGATGTATATCCAGCAGAGGGATTGCTGGATCATATAGAATTTGTATTCCTGGTTTGAGATAAGGGCCACATAGCTTTCCATTTGATTTATTGACTGATGGTTCCATGAGTGTTGATTGTGGATCCAAGTTAAATGAAACCCTTGACAACTCCTTCACTTTTTCTCTAGCACCTATTCCTGTACAACATCCTTTTATGTAAAATATTAGCCTCTATCTTTGGACAAAGTAGAACTTGTCAAGATTCCTTTTTAAAAAAATAGTATTTGGGAAAAAACACAATGCCACAAAGTGTGCTTAACCAGTGGAGAGGATTACTTTTCAAATCTTAACTTGTTGAGTGGCATCATATCCATTCTGACTTATAGTGACCCCGTTGCACAGTGAAGAACTAATTATTACGGAAACAGACAGTCAGGTCTTTCTCCTTTGTTGCTGCTGGGTGGGTAGCTGCCACCATCATTTAACATAACACCTAACCCCTTAACCTTTGCAACTCACACCACTGGTCCTGTAGGATCATCCACCCATGGATTCCCTGTATTTCCAGTTCCTATTTGTGCCAGTGTATATCCTCTGGTCTAGCCAGACTTGCAAGGTATAATTCGGATCATGAGAGTGGGGATGGGGATGAAGCATTTAGGAACTAGAGG